GTATCCAGACTGCGCATTTTACAGTGCTTGGACTGAAATAGAAACAGATTTGCAATGCCAAACTTGTTGGAACAGCGAAACTGTTTCCTATCTGCTCCCATTTAATTCCCGTTAATGAAAGTCCATGAGCTGTGATTGCCTGTGAAATAACGACCTTTTTCTCTTTTTACCATTTATAACCCAAATTTGCACATCCATTGTTCTTTACAGTATATTGATCGTCTCAATTAAAATTAAAAAACAGAAAACAGCAAAATTTTGACAGTGACAATGAAGAACATGAACTTTGATGGAAACTTTGTGGTCTAATTCTTTAGGGGTTAATTAAGCTCTTTTAGATACAAAATGATGAGTTACTCATTCAAGACTAGTGCCAAGAAGTGTTTCATCACATTAAAGTGACCCACGCCTTGGAATAGTGTTCAGAAAGGCAAAATCTTTGGACTTCCTCAAGAGGCAATTCAACACTGTGACAAAGGAGAGGAAGCAACAGGTTTCAACCGAAGGACAATCTTGATGGTCCACGTAGCTTTATCTCCTTCATATATCTTTGCTTATTTGCGTCTTTGTATCTTTGTTTCATTATCTTCAATTGTTTTGTTCAAATGGCAATTGTTACCAATTCTTCTGGAAGCAATTTTGTCCAAAACAGAGTTAGATTGGCAATGACACAAAACTAGCCTATTATGCTCTAGCTCAAAATGGCATGTGACCAGCATAAGTGGTGAATATTTTATTCGTCCAGCTGTGCAAAGTATAAAGCTGAGTCAAGGTGGGATATTTTATAGGCATGTCTGTAAAAATCTTTGCCCTGAAATACCACAGGATTATTTATACAAGTGTTACCTTTCAGGGGCAATATGTTCACCATCTTCCTCGGTACTGACTCCATCAGAAGTCACGAAAGCAATCCCAATGCTTTAGCATTGGCTTTGAGCACGAACATTGAACTAGTCTGTTGGCAAAATGAAAACACAGATGCAGCTTTTAAAGAGCACAATGGAGATATAGTTTGCAGAAGCTGCAGGTAAATAGTGACCATTAGCCCAGACAGGGGTCACTGCAGTCGATGGCATAGATCATATGTTGAGATACTCCGAAAACATTTTGTCAAGTGGAAGATCTAGAAGAGAGACTCAAAGAAGAAAGAAGGGCATGAAAGTGAAATAGGAAAAATAAGGTACAAAAAGTTTAATGAATTTCAGTTTTGTGTTTCTCTGGACAAAATGTGACAAAGGATTTTCTTAGAGTCAGGGTGTCTCAGTGGCAGGGTGAAAATGGTGGCAAGTATCTGATTCCAGGATTCCCAAACCCGCTCACGGGATTTCCAGTTTTCATCAGTGCTGTTTAAGGTGTTGGGCCAGTTTGGGTTGTGAGTCCACACCCTGGCCCCCCTCAACCTGGCAGGCTGCATTACAGAAAGAGGCACCTTTTAGATATCTATAATTTTCATGAAGTCAGGCTAGCTTTTTTTAAAGAATTGCTGCTCTTCTCCATTCAGACTCGTCATGAGCTATAGCCTGGTTGAGGGAAAGTTTTGCTCCTGCCTACATGCCAAATATTGCCCCTCCACCCATCCCCATGGCCCCTCATACCCTCCATGCCAAGCTATAGGAGCAGGGGCTTGTAATGGAGGAGGAGTGGCCATGAGAGGTGGGTTAAGGGGCATAACTTAGCACAGAGTGTATGAGTGACCATGAGGGGGAGGGTGCAGGTGTGGAAGGGTATGAACTGGGTTGAATTGTGCATGGGGAGTGCATGGGGTTTGAGGGATTACAGGTCTTGCTTTTAATTCTAACTGGGATTAAGTCCCACAGTGCCCACTTCAGCACTTAGCAGCCCCTGTGGTTCCCCCTGAACTCCTTCCAGGGTTGGTTAGTCTGACTGCATCCACTTCCCCGCAATGGGAATATCATCCTTGCTGGCACTTTCCCCCAAGACAGGCTCCTTGAGTGGGAAATTCCCCAATTGCTGCTCTGCCTCAAAGATGAAAATTCAACCCAAAGTCTCAATGGTGAGACATAAACATGGGGCTTTAATGTCTTCAGGTGCTCTGCAGCTAAGGAATAGCTTTTAAAGTGTAGTTTCTGTTGAACCTTGATTTGATTTTCCAAAATGCAACACCTCACACTTACCTATATTAAACTCTTTTTGTCATTTCTCAGCCCACTTCCCCAGCCGATCAAGATCCTGCTGCGATTTCTGATAACTTTCCTCACTGTCCATGATACCGCCTATTTTAGTGTCATCCACAAACTTACTAATCATGCCTTGTACATTCTCATCCAAATCATTGATGTACATAATAAACAGCAATGAGCTCAGCACTGACCCCTGAGGTATGCCACTAGTCACAGGCCTCCAGTCTGACAAGTATCTTTCCACTATTACCCTCTGCTTCCTAACATCATGCCAATTGTGTATTCAATTGCCAACTCTCCTTGGATTCCATGTGATCTAACCTTTCAGAGCAGCCTACCATATGGAACCTTATCAAAGGCCTTAGTGAAATCCATATAGACTACGTCTACTGCCCTGCCCTTATCAACCTTCCCAGTCACTAGGACAGCAGGAGAACTAGATTGCTCTCCTGATAGTTAGAGACCAGATGGATGACCAGAATTCTGCATTTGGACCTTGTATAAGTCCTAACACATTGATTTCATGGGAATTATGCAGGAAGTCAGTGGACTCTAAATATTAACACAGTTTCTCTCGCCACAGACAGAATAGATTGCTGAGTTTCTTCAGTACTAGCTGATTTATTTCAGATCTCCAGCAACTGCAGTATTTTACTCTTGTTTAGGTTTGAACATCTGATGGGTAATTCCTCTACTCCTTGGCATCCTCTGAGAAGCAGAAAAAAAAATCACTGACTATAAATCTGATTTGGAGACTTCAAACATTTCTAAATTACTTAACTGGATAGTTATTCATAAAATATTAGACAGAAAAATCCCAGTCTAACTTGATAACTATAACTGACCATCCCTACCATCCTCCCTCCTATCTGCAACAGACATGCCACTTTATCACTTTCTCCATTTGCCTCAATTAAGTACGCACTTCCACACCTATGCATTAACTCATTGAGTCATATGTTGGTAATAATGCACTGAGAAAAAGACATTTAACCTATTACTTATTAGAGTATGACAGCTCGTAGAGCAGAAGTGGGACATGGTAGATTCCCTTCACTGAAATCTGAGGCTTCCTATGCTGAAAGAGTTTTGCAGGATCTTCCATTCGAAAAAAGTCAGTTGAAGGTAAGTTGATAATTTTATTCTTGTTAACGTATCTGTCACTGACCAGTAGATTTGGGCAAAAGTCTCACCTGACATATGAAACAATCAGTAATGCACTGAAATGCCAGCGTAGCTCATGGCATGGTTTTTCCTTTTGCAACATCAATGAACACTGAGATATTTGCCATGACTGAGGCCTGCAGCAACACCACTTTTCTGGTGACCAGGAAATTCTGGTCTTCCTCAATAGTCTCCAGAAGAGATTGCTATAACAGATGCCTGCAGAAGACATCAGGTTCTACGTGGATATACTTGGGTATACTTACTGCCACAATTGGCACTCAGCATTAAGCACTGAAGGATTGACCACCGCTAAGTCTTTGGCAGAAGAGGCACATCCTTGAGTAACAAGAAGTATTTTATCATATAATGTTAAGTTACAGTTTATATTTGCTTAGGACTCATTAACTACATTAACACTAGGTGAAAGCTATTGTTATCTCCTAGGAGTTAGTAGCTAGGTCTAAGTTACACAGCTGTAGAACTAACAGCAAACAAATGGGCCAATTCCTCCCAGAGACAGTTATTTATTTTAATGTTAGGCAAAGCTATAACAAAGCTACACTTTCAGGCCAATTACTTGATATAACATCTTCCACAAGCTTTGCTATTTTTCTGTTTTAACCCATTACACACTTGCTTAAACAAATATATTAAATTTTCCACCATAACTCCTACCTATCATTCTGAGCTTACAAATGTTTCTTGACATGGATGAATATTTAGATCTTTGCCCGAGGATGATCATCCAAATGTTGATCTTTGTCACTCTGTGCTGTTGGGGGGTCTTTTACTACTTGAATGCCTTTGACTGAAAACATGTTTTGCTGTTGGCATTGCTCACAGACTGTTGTCTGTCTGGGGGGTCTTTAGTTTTCTTAAAATGTGTAATGGAAGACAATTTAGTTGATAAAAGAAGTAATCTTCTTTGATTTTTAACGAGGCAGATTTAGATGAAGAATATCCACTCTGCTGCCTGTTCTTTAAACCAATGTCAGTCCTTTCATTAGCTTCATTGTTGTCAGTGGCATTAGCTGTGCAGTATTAGCAGTCTCTGAACTGTTGTGTTCTCTGGACTAATTTTTGTTGTTGTGAAGAATTCGCCATGATTTCAGATGGTGGTTCCACCAAAGCTTTTGAGATGTCAAGTCCTGAAGATTTTTCCATGAGTGAGAAGAAAACCCAACAAAATCAGTGTTGTTTTTCTTTATTAGTAATGTGAAACAGTTGTTGAATACCAAAGTAACTGATCTCAATTGGAGTGTATATCTTCCTCTCTTCAGCCAGCATTCCTGGAGAGTAATAAAAGTCTTCTTGTTCCTCACCTGTTAAATTGGTAATTGTTTCCTTAGATATTTGGAAATCTTCCTCAAACTGCACAATTTTCAGGATAATATATGCCTTTCTGCTCAGTACTTAAATCCGTTGATTCTGGATGACACAATGATTGAGGCTGGAGGAATGCACTGTCACCCCACTCCATCAGTCATAATATAAATGAAAGATATTTCTGCCAGTTACCGAGATGACTAATTAAATGTCCTATCTATATCAGATTTCAAACAAAAAAGATCTATCAATCAGGTTTCTTAACAAAGACAAATATGGGCTTATTATTGAAATAGAACTTATTCAATAAAGATGCAACATTTGTTTAACATATATAGTCAGTAATATAGAAATATAAATACTTACCCTCTAAAATATATACTCACTCACACATTAAGTCTTTGTCTCTTTCTCATCCTCCCTCCCCATCACTTCTCTCTACCATTGTCTCCCTAAAAAAAGAGAGGGAAACAAAAACCAGATATCTCTATAAAGATTGGCTTTTGGTTAAAAAATTATTCTTGAGGGAAAAATGATAAAGCATAAGATGTTCCAGAATCTGTGGCTTTAATATTCTGACATGTTGTCCAAGTTACTAATTGGAAGAACATAAAAAAATAGGAGCAGGAGTAGGCCATCTGGCCTATTAGATTATGCAGTTGCCTCTGTAATGTTGGAGTCACAGCTTGCTCAAGAAATACAATCTTGATATATTCTTTCAGTCACTTTCAAAAGCTCAAATATGTTTCATCCTGATCTGTAGTAGAGACTTTTCTTTACAAAAATGGAGCCATCAGATGGGCAGCTTGTTCATAGCAAGCTTTCCTCCAACTGACCCAGATAAAATAAGAACCTCACCAAATCAATCACTGTTTAAAACAACTCCAACAGAGATTATAGCAAAGGAAACAGTTATCACCAGTCATGTGATTTCTAGGAAGCCTTGTTTAAAATGAAGCCCAATGACTGAACTTACAATGACATTTTGAAAGAAATCACTGTTTAAATTCACAAGGCTTGAAACAAATTTCTTTTCCCATGGGTCTTCAAATTGTGAGTCCTCCAAGCAAAGCTAAATGTGCAGCATCTTTGTAACAACGGCATAAACGTGTTCTGCAAATTGTTTATCTTTATTGACTTAATAAAACTTTTAACACCCCTTTTAATCTTAGGGGTTGGTCCATTTGCTCCACGCTACAATAGGTTAGAAGTCTGCAACTTTGATTCTTTTTTAACCCAAAGTATTTAGTCAGATAACACGTGATGTTTGTTCCAGTAACAAATTTGAATTGATATGGATGTCCATTGACTGGATGATCTTGGTTGTCTCTGATTAAATGGGTCACCTCTTTCTGTTTGAAAATGGCTGCGTGATTTCTTCTTAAAGTAAAAGTGTTTGTAAGTGCTTTTTAGGGCATCATCAAAGATACCTTTTTGAAGTGCTTGTCTGTTAAAAACATGATTATGCTAATGGTGCTAGAGAAGGATGGTGCTAATGTGTTCTGAGTATGATTTGGTCTATAGCAACATTTCTAAATCTCCTGAGTCATTTCATCCATGCTGGCATTGAATATGCTCAGTGGTGCAATAATTTTCTCCATTTCTTTGTTAAATTGTTTACTTTAAATTCTGAATGATTTAACATATATGTTTAAATTATGTTGTATGTTTACCTTTTCTTCTTTAGGTTTAACCTTAACATATCTATGTCCCTTTGCAGATGCTTTGTGTCATCTTCACCACTTACCTTCCCAATTATTTTTGTTTCATCCACAAACTTGGCTATAGTACATTCAGTTTCCTCGTTAATATATATTGTGAATAAGTCTGGCCTCAGCACTGATCCCTGTGGCACTCTACTAGCTGTTGGTTACCATTCTGAACATAGTTCCCTTGTCCCAACTCTGTCTTCTATTCATTAGCCAATCCTCTATCTATGTTAATAGGCTACCTCCAACACCATTAACTTATTAGCCTAACATTTGGTACCTTATCAAACTCCGACTGAAAATCCAAATATATTACATGTAGTACTTCCACTTTATCTATCCAGTTTGTTACATCCTCAAATAATTGTCATAATTTTCAGGCATGATTTTCCCCATCATGAAGATTGAAATATTGGGTATTTCTAAATGCTCTGCTCTTACATCCTGTATACCAGACTATAACTTTTACCCAATAACAAATGTTAAGTTCATTCACCTATAGTTACCCTTTTTTTTGGTCTCTTTCCCTTATTGAATAAGGTTGTTACTTTGGCAGTTTTCCAATCCTCTGGGAATTTTCCAGAACCCAAGGATTCCTGGAAGATTACTATCAGTGCATCCATCATTTCCATAGCTACTTCTTTTAATATCCTAGGGTGTATCCCATCAGATCCATGGGAATTATTGGTCTTTTGCACCATTAGTTTTTGAATTTTTCACTTTTTTTTCTCTCTAGGTACACTTGTTGTATTCAATTCCTTTCCTCTTTTTGCTGCTTGATTGCAGCTGACTGGTCTGTGCTCCTTTTTAAAAGCTGCTGAATTTTTAAAATGTTGAAGCGGCCAGAAAAGTGTTTTTGCTGGCCAAAAGGAATGAAAAGGTCAAGAAAGAAGGGTGGCATTATTGTGCCTCTGCATGCTTCTATTGTACAAAACAGAGGCCAGAGAAAGTCAGGCCCTTATAATACCTCAACCACAATCTGCATGAAGTCTTCTAAGGTTCTGTACACTGCTTAATCTCATTTGTATGAGCAGTACTGCGACATTTCAGACATGTTAACTTGCTTTAGATACCACTGCATACAAATAGCAAACACCATTTAAAAGTGCACACTAATGTTTTGAAGCAGCTGCGGTTTTTTTTATTTGTTCCTTCAAACCAATTAAGCTAAACAAACCTACACAGTGAGATTTCCATGAACGTTGTTGTTTCCATTCAAAGTTCCAAGAAGCACTTTGTCAATTAAATATTTATAGACAACAGCTCCGAAGAACATTGTAACCTTCAACAAATGTCTTGTCCTGTGCTCTGTAATTTTCATTTTGTATGTCATGTTGTTCAAATCTGTTTTCTAAACAGACAGAGAGAAAGGCTTGCATTTGTATAACATCTTTCATAAACTCTGGGCATATGAAAGTATGTTACAGCCAATTAAGTGCATTTGCAGTGTTCTCACTAATGCAATGTGGGAAACACAGCAGCCAGTGTGCACTGAGCAAATGCTAGGTCTCGTCTAAAGATAGGACCTCAGACACTGCAGTGTTCCCCCAGTACTGCACTAGAGTAGCAACTTTGATTTTTAAATTATGATCCTGAAGTGAGATTTGAATGTACAAATTTCTGGAAAAAGAAAACTACCAACTGAGCCACAGCTGATGCATGTATGCAAAATGCAAAAAGGACCATCACAAAGCAAAACAATTTCATCAATTAAACATTTCAAAAGTTGAAATAAAAGCCACCTATTTGCCCACATGCATTTATTTTTTGCCTGCCTTTATCTTTCCTTGAGCTCTGACACAATATTACCTCAGCATAACAGGCGACAGGTAGCAGTCTTTCAGTAAAGGAGACCACAGGCCTTGCAAGTTTATCACTCATAGAACTGGGCCCACAAAACCAGAATTTCAAATGCAGCAATTTTTCAATGGGTGACAATAGTCTGGGCAGACTGGCTGACAGGCAACATCAAGGGAACTGGTGGAATGGCAGTGGTGAGTGGATGAATTCTGTCTTCTGGAATGAGGACTGCATAGAGTCATCAATGCTCTGATGGAGTAGTATCTCAATAATCCTAGCACTATGTCCAGGACAAATAGGCACTTTTAGATCCTGAGAGTCACTTTGAGTCTACATATTCATCGTGTCAGCCATGATGTCAGCAGTCTAAGCCTGTGGGGTAGAAAGCTGAACTTGCATGATTTGGGTCCATAAATATTTATGGAGTTGGCCATAAATTCTGCTTGGATGGACTCTAAGCTCTCTGGAAAGACCTGCACAGTTGCTGGACTCCTCCATGCTACTTGATAGTGACAAGAATCTTTTTGTCAGGCCAATGCACCAAGACTTCTGTGTACATGTCCATCAGTGTTTTTACTGTACACTACCCAACTAAGTCCTCATCTATATCATCTGCAGCAAACTGCATGTATGATTTGCCTACTGCTGGCACCTACACCACCTTGTCTTCCATCCTAGCTACATGTCACTCATGTCCATATCTTACAAAGTGCAGATGTCTCTAAGGTATCCTCTAAAGTACATCATCTTAGTACCTGAGCTGTTGAATTTATGATATTGCATGATGTTCCTTTCTTGGCCAGCAAGACACTTTTCTGGTTGCTTCAGTGTTTTAAAAATTCAGCAGCTTTTAAAAAGGAGGATATCTGGGATGTTCTGGAGTAAAACGCCTCACCCTGGAAGGAGATTCCATTTCAAACCCACTGACTCCCACGTCTACCTCAACGACACCTCCTCTCACCTACCCTCATGTCAAAATGCTATCCCATAGTCTCAATTCCTCCACCTCCGCCACATCTGTTCCCGGGATGAAGCGTTTTACTCTCGGACATCCCAGATATCCTCCTACATTGATGCCACACTCAGTTGAATACAGCCTTGACGTCAAGAGCTCTCACTCTCACCTCACCTCTGGAAATCAGCTCTTTCGTCCATGTTTGAAACAAGGCTGTAATGAGATCAGGAGCTGAGTGGCCCTGGCGGAATCCAAACTGGGAATCACTGAGCAGGTTATTGCTGAGCAGATGCTGCTTAATAGCAGTGTTGATGACACTTTCCATCACTTGGAACAGCTTGGCTAGGGGAGCGGCAAGTGCTGGAGCACAAGTCTTTAGTACTATTGCTGGAATGTTGTCAGGGCCCGTAACCTTTGCAGTATCCAGTATCTTCAACTGCTTTTTGATAGCACGTGGAGTGAATCGAATTGGCTGAAGGCTGATATCTGTAATGCTGGGGACGACTGGAGGAGGACGAGATGGATCATCCACTCGGCACTTCTGGCTGAAAATTGCTGCGAAAGCTTCAGTCTTATCTTTTGATGTGCTGGGCTCTTCCATCATTGAGGATGGGGATATTTGTGGAGCCTCCTCCTCCAGTGAGTTGTTTAATTGTCCACCACCATTCACAACTGCATGTGGCAGGACTGCAGAACTTAGATCTGATCCGTTGGTTGTGGGATCGCTTAGCTCTGTCTATCACTTGCTGCTTTCACTGTTTGGCATGCAAATATTCCTGTTTGGTGGCTTCACCAAGTTGGTACCTCATCTTCAGGTATGCCTGGTGCTTCTCCTGGCATGCCCTCCTGCACTCTCCATTGAACCAGGATTGATCCCCTGGCTTGATGCTAATGGCTGAGTGGGAGCTATGTCAGGCTGTGAGGTTGCAGATTGTTCTGGAATAGAATTCTGCTGCTGTTGATAGTCCACAGTGCCTCATGGATGCCC